TGCCTGATCATGCCATCCTCACACAAACGATGAAGTAAAACTCACCGAACCTAAAAGTGGAACTTAAACTTGAATGCGACGAGAGTCAGCTGTCTCGACCTAGTTCTTACTGTACCGATCACCAGGAGCCCGGGATTGTCATGCACTGCAACCCCTGGCTTTCCATGCCTGTGCAAAATCTCGAAGGGACTACCAAAGACACACCTGCCACGATATTAAGGTGCTGTGGGCTAATGGCACCGCAGTCGCTCCATAACCGGTGCAAGTCTCCTCCCCCTCTAGGTCGTCATTAGCCTCTTGCATATGGCTACTTCTGCGTAATTCAGTTGCCCAAAAACAGTAATGTTTCCCACTAGGCGCCAATCTCTTGTGGATTGGGCTACACATCATTGTATGCATACTGTCACCACCCGCCCAGACGAACGGCGCGACTACATCGAATTGAGCACATCCTAAAAAGCTAAAAATGAATAACGGAACCCGTCCACAATGTGCCTTTGCAGTTCACTTGGTTGGATGGGCTTTGACCCCCAGGTTCGTCCACCTCTTGTGGTGCTAGTTCCATTGGCGTCTCATTTCCCGCCGGTACAAATGCTATACCGTCGCAAACCAAAAGCCGTCCTTCTTGTGTCAATAGAGTGCACTAATTCACAGATGCAAGGCTTCATTTACACCTAAATGTACGGCAAAGTGCTCTCCGTCCATAGCTCCAAGCTTCGAAGCGTAACGTGCAATGAATCCTGGCCTAATGGGGGCTTCTCGGTGTGAAATTTGCGTATCGGTGGGAATTACCGTGCTCAACGTTTGTGTCACACTGTTTGCTCGAACTCAACAGGATGTCCGATGCTTCCTGGAGTAGGAAGTTCCAACGGGGGAAGTAAACGGCAATACACTCAGTATGCCAGCGGACAGGCAGCAGGAACAGAGGTCCTATCGTTACGGCTGCCCATCACGCAACCTTCCGGTAAAAAGCAACAGCGAGGTTGCACTTTTCGTAAATTGACAGACAGAGCCCTCAGATATCGTCTTTGAAAGTTCGTTGCCCCTGCCTATGCTCTATCTTGCGGGCCCTTTAGCCGAGCTGCGCAGGAAGATCTTGACGCAGCATTAATTCAATATGCATACATCTATGCCCCCAAAGTTTCGCTGCTTTTGATGTTTGACCTCAAATGTAGATTTGACGCCGTTAGAAAGCGTCCCTTCCCCTCCATAACCAACCATCCAACGCAGGATGTTTGTAAGCAAACAATAGATGATCCTCTCTCCATGGGTCCCAACTATCGCTCCTGAAACGCACGGGTGCATAGGGGGAGAAGAGGAGGATCCGCTTCAGTTCTATTATTTCCTCCGGCCTTGGCCGCTCTCCCATTTTGTAGATGCAGATGGCGGCTAGAAGACGATTGGCGAGGTAGGCGTTTACCTTTCCACTTTCTTTGGTGCGAAGTGATGGTAGGGGGTATCGGTACTCAGCATCGAAGCATCTGATGAAATCAATCCACCACGAGGTTGATCTAGGTGGAACTCCGAGGACGTGCATAGCAGATACGATTGCATCAAAAATGAGAAAGTGCTTCCCTATGCTCGCCACCCCATGCACTGGGCGGCTCATCCGCCTAGTTGAACGCGCCCGAGCGGCCGACGCCATTGCAAGGTCCTGGATATGCTGGACAAGAAAGGCAGCGTCCGCCTGGTCCAGCTCTTTCCTCATAAACATGTGGCGGAAACCAAGCAAGAGTTCCCGCAGTGGTGCACGGTTGCTTACATCAAAATGGGAAGAATTCAATACAATGGGCGGCGGCACCACCCCTTCCTGCAAAATAGGCAGCCTGACAAAAGGGTGCATGCAAATCAAACCAGCCACGGAGACAGCAGCAGTCGTTGATGGTGGTGCTGCTGTTGCAACAACCTCGTCAGATGCAGCACCCGCTGCTGCTGGAGCAGCGGCCTCGTCTGGAACGCTCGATGATGCTGTTGGAAAACCCTGTCCTGAAAGCCATGTTTCCGTTGTTCCTGAGTAAACTTGGCATGCAGGTCGTGAGAATTCTGGAGGCTGCCCTTGAGAGGAAGATTCATGGCTGTCTATTGAACTCTCAGGCAAACTGCCTATGACAGGAAGCGCATCCAGCCAGGATTCAGGATCTAGCTCCGGGTAAGTCCCAGATGAAAGCTCTGTGCTGCCTTCTTCATCTGAAGCACGCCATGCAGCAGCCTGTGGCAGCAACGTTGCAACCTGATGAGGCAAACCAACCGAATTTGAGGCAACAACAGGAGGTTGGGTACCCGCAAAAGCCTGGAGGGCTGCTGAATCGGA